CCCCGCCCCCCCGGGCCCCCGTGCCTGCTTCTCTTAAGGCCAGACCCGAAACGCCGCTGATTCACCGGACCGGCTCGGCCCCGGGGCCACAGCTGGCTGCCCGAGATAACCGTGCGCTCTCCTGTGACCCCGGTCACTCATACAGAGCCAGCCTGGGCTCACCGCAAACGAGCCTGGATCCGTATTCATCCGAGACCTCGGGAAATAACGTGCCCGCCCCCGTGCCGCTGCCTCTTCCCGCAGAGAACGATTACGCAGCACTCTGCTTGTTTCCTCCCGTCAACGTACTGCAGGTGAACTGCAAGCTTCGGGATAAACATCGTACGCTTAAAAAAACCACCCAGGCATTTAACATCCAGAAACGAGAGGGTAAACCTTTCCCCTCAGATGCCAAGGTGGAATAGGTGTTTCCTTGAGACAAGTTTCAGGTGCCCGGCTTTGCCACAGAAGTCTGGTGCCGTGTGTAAATATAACTCTATAATAAATCATAACTCTTGTGCCAGCCTGGAGATCTCAAAAGAGCAGCCTGGAGCGCAGAGCAGAGGGGCCCTCGCAGCAGCGCCCACAGCACGCTGCGGGACACCGGAGACCGTGGGCAATGGGACTTCTCCTGCCAGCACTACAACCCCCAGCAGCATCCCACCCCCCCGCCTTTAGGGGGAAGGTTGCTCACATCCCTGTCTTTCTAAAGACACTGCTCCATAATCTTCGTATTTCCCACCACCCCCACCCCCAAAGCAGCATCACTGACGCTGTCATCAGAAACGCATCTTGGGAAGTGATGCTGGTCAGCGCGGATGCTAACCAATACATGAGGAAAATCTACGAGGAGTCTTTTTCCAGGGACTAAGTGATTATAACAACAAACTCCAGGAGAAGTAAAGCACACCTAATACAGCTAATAAGATTATAACAGGCACCATGGTTTCCTTGCCAGGACACTTCTAATCATGCCCGCATTCTTAATCCCTGCTAGCAGGAGACAAACAACTGTGCATAATTACTTGCAAGCACAAGTTAACAGCTAGGTGTCTTCTTGGTAAACACAGATATTCATTTGCTTCAACTGCCTGAAAGTCAGAAGTCAGCGTCATCCCGTGCCAGCAGTCACTACTGATCAGCCCTTGGGGATACAGCAGAGGCTCGGGTCTTGAAAACTCGTCCCGTAACAAGTGCTCGAGCAAACAGCTTTGGTTCTCCCACCTGTGCCAGGCTACCCAGCCGCGATGGGTTAGCACCAAGAGATTTGAAAGCGCAGAATAACATCCCTGGACATCACGATGCCGCCTGCCCACGGCCACATGCCAGCAGGCCCACCTGGGCGCCTCGTGTGGGACTGCCCTTCAGGTCAGAGAGCTTTCGGACGCCCAACACGCATCACCCGGCCTCCAGCCAAGGCGTACCGCAACTCACTGTCCTCCACAGATACATGTATCCGCTAACTCCCACCATCACTCTTGCACAGCCCAAAATGACAACTTCTGAGTGTTATTTTATTATGAAAGTTTATTCCCTGTGAGACCCTCAGGAGAGGGCGATGCCGATGCAGGCGGTAAGAGCTCTCTACGACAAAGCTGTGAAACAGCTCTAAGCAGGGATTTTCTCCTGTTCATCAGTTTGGTATACAATCCATACCAAGCATTGATTTTTCCAAATACCAAGAAGAGTTAGAGCAGCAATTGATATCTTTTACATGCTAAAGCCAAAGCAAGTTAAAGGCCACATTTTCAAAACAAGATAATTAATTTCACTCTCATTACAAGAGTAGTCACCCCTTATGAGGAAAGAAAGATAGCATGAAGGCAACACACAAAATGAAAACAGATGAAAACTATCTTTTGTGCTCATGTGTAGTGAAAGGAGTAAGCTTCCTGGTAAAACTCACAAAACTATGTTTTATTCCTAGATTTGTAATAGTTTTCCATTTGGAGTCAGACTAGCCACTTACTCGCAGTGAAATCCTGCTCCTGTTGAGGTCAGTGACATATCTGTAACTGCATTAAACAAGGTTGAATTTCACCCTTCATTCTTCAGGCTGCCAGCTACGAAAAGAAAAGTATTACTCAGAGGAGCTGTGATGCCTCAGAGGTAAATCTTCTGAATGTGAAGAAATGCTAGATGTATATTTTGTCTGCACAGTTACTTGAAGAAAAATTGTTTTGTCAGAATTTGTTATCTACCCGAAAACATAGCCAGAAATGTCAGCTTTAAAAATAGCATTCTAGCAAAAATACAGACTGACTTCAGACCAGAGGTATATCTTCAATATCTCCACTAAATAAAGGAAGATGTGAGCACAGAATTATAATTTTTTTATCTGCATAAACTATTTTCCCTTCACTTTGAAATTCTTTTGTGATATTCCAAGTCAATAAGGAGTCCCCAATAAGCCTCAAATACTAAAGGATACCACTCTCCGCAAAACAAAACCCAGCAGATACATGCGATGTGTCTCTTTGGGCTGTCTCTGATAAGCTAGGAAAGACTGCAACAAATCCAGAGGGAAGAACCATAGTGAGAGGACAGGAAAGGGGCTGAGTTGATTTTTAATCTTTTTTTTTTTTTTTAATTTAATTAAAATTTATTTGGAGGCTGACAGTTTCCAGACTCCACCTAGGAGGCCATTCAGTACTAAATGCTGTTCTTAATCCACGGGTGGTTTTTGAAATTCACCTTTTGAAATTTGAAAGTATTTGCTACTTGTCTTGGGACTGTTGCAACATTGGTTTGGACAAAGCATAACCTTGCCTTCACTGATTATTGAGAATACAAGGAAAATGAAGCTAAAAATATTGAAAGCAAATTAAAAAGTGATTCTCAGAAGAGACGAAAGAGAGAAATAACACTGAGAAGTCATTCCTTAAGAGGGTAAGAGAGATGACTTAGTTGTCTGCTGAGCTGGGTCAATGAAAACAATTAAGAAACAACTTCATAAATCAATGGAAAGGTTATCTGAAAATAGCCAAGAAAGTGAAACTAACACAGAAAGGACCATGTGACTACGGTTCCTAAGTTATGATTAAACATGTTCAATTTTTATTACTTCCTGTTATTGCTATAAAGAAATGTTGTACAGCCAGGTTAATGACAGATTTTTCCTCCTCTTCTCGTTCCAGTCTTTGACACAAAAACAAGGTATCCAAACAGGAGTGTCTCACTGCACTGGGAACTGTTCCCAAGGAGCCATTGTTTTCACTCTTCCTGTAACTGGGTTTGCTGGACGTTCCTGTTTTCTGTATCTCAATTCACACATGTCTCTCAGAGAGAGAGATATATAAAGCTGGACAGGCAAAAGGCACAGCACTAAAGAAGAACATGGCAGTGAAGAATGCTATTTTTATGCTCAGAGAAAGTGGAAGCTGAAAGCGCCAGTCTCAATGACATGAGAACTGTCAGCAAGAACAGATAATTACACAACGTGAATTCATCCTCATGACAATGACTCTAATGAGACAGGAAATGGAATAAAATCAATATTCTATTTACATTGACGGTACGGTCTCAAAGCTTGAAATTGCCAAATGGCTGTCTTAAATAAAGAAATACAAAAATTACTGACTGCCTTACAGTATTTTCAAAACACCTCTGCCAAATTCAAAGTTTACCAATAACGTATCTGAACATA